GTTCTAGAAGCACAAATAATTTTAGAATAAGGGCTGTTCCAGGCTTTGATTGTTTGCATTTGAATGTTTCCATCTTAAGATGTTCCATTGATTCATAACTTTTACAGTTGGTTCCAACTTGAAACCCCACTTCATGATATCCTCTTTTGCAATGTTAAGGAATTGAAAGCCATTAATGTTTTTTAGAAAAATTTCTTCTTTCCTCAAGCCGATGCGTTTGAACAACGTAGCCATTTTCTTAGAATTCCAGTCAACTATATCCGGTATCTTGTTAGGATGTTTAGTAACATATTCAAAAGGTTTATTTGCTATTTTCAAATATTCTCCAAAAAGCTTTCTTTTCCTCATAGCCATTTGCATTGCTGTAGAAGAATTGGCATGTTGATTAAATATCTTACATACAGTCAAACAAACTGAGCAAGTTAGAGCATTCCTTTTATTCTTTGTCATACAACATTTATGAAAGTTACAACCACAAGTCTTGCAACATATGAAGGGCTCAGTTATGCCTTTATCGTCAAATATCTGACCGAATTCACACACCTTGCAAAGCGCCATTTTATGCAATTTTTGCTTCTATAGTAAATAAACACTAAGTTATTTAGAATTTTTACACGACACAATTTGTCAGCTCAAACGATTTTTAAGAGCTTTCCTATTTATATTTGGCTTGTTAAGGCTAAACTCAATCACGTACTTTAAATCAATTAAATTCATCTTAAGTCAAACGATTTTTCGTTAACTTAAAATCATGAAAAATCGTTTGCTATTATATGCGTGATGAAAATCGTCTGCTTCTGTTCATGTTTCATTAATTTCAAATTATTCAGATCTTAGGAAATTTAAAAGAACACCAATGAAATAAAGCAATTTTAAGTGTATTATAAACTTTTATATAACTGACTTAAGTATTTTTAATGTGCGTCTGAATGACCATTATAATAAATTTAGCTATAAGTTCATTTCTCTATTAGATCAAAGTTTTTCAGCAATTTTTTCTGACGACGTTTATATTGTATAATTCAAGCAATCTGATTTTTTGAAACTTAAAGAGCCATTCTAAAATTGTTACATTTCGAAATATAACACTAAAATCGCTGCTTTATATGCGAAAAATGTAACTAATAATCAATACTATCGCTGGGGAAGTTAAATAATAGTCTACACTACACCGAAATTCACTGTGAGCGGACGTAAAGGAAATTTATGAATGCATTTTATCATGAATTCTTACTGCTACAAATTCATTCTGTAATAATTTCTTTTTGTAACAAATTCATTCAAATTATTGCTAAAATTTTAAAAGCATCGCACTGTTAAACTACGGTAGCTGACGTAGGGTGGTTTGGAATGTTAAGTGAGATTAAACAGAAAGAGGAGAAAGTAAAAAAAGAACTAATAAATACGAATCACTGTCAATACCTTATGACCAGAGGATCGGATTGTAACATAGGTTTGAGAAGATCAATTAGAACAGGCAATTCTAACTTGCCGTCGAGCTAACCACGGGTGGTTTTCGTGGTTTTTTCCCACCGTGTAACGCAAATGCAAGTCAGTTCCATCAAAAAGTCCTCCACGAAGGCTAGTTTGCCCCAATGCTTGATCCAGGAGTTCCCTTGTCTCCCAGGTTACAAGGCAACGGAGTTGAGCATTAATAGTCGTAAGCTCAGAATTGTGTCGGCAGTTCAACGCTGGCTATAAAATTAAATCAATACACCGAACAATAAATTTTTATCACTTCTTTTTTTTTTTCCTCTTTAAAAAAATAACTTTGATTTTAAAAACTGATAAACTAAAAAACTTTGATTTTGATTTAAAATATCATCAGTAGTATACGGATTATGGGTTAGAATTTCCTTCCGTCGGGCTAACCGCAGAAAGTTTTCATGGTTTCCCTCCCCCCGTATAACGCAAATGCAAGTTAGTTCTATTAACAAGCCCTCCACGAAGGCTAGTTTGTCCCAATACTTAATCCAGGAGCTCCCTTGTCTTCCGGGTTACAAAGCTGCGGAGTAGAACATTGCTAATCGTAAAATCAGAATTAGGTTGGCAGTTCAACGCCGGTTATAAAATCAAATCAATACACGGAACAATAAATTTTTATCATTTGGTTTAGTTTGTTTTTTTTTTCTCTTAAAATAAAATAAATGATTTTAAATCAAGAAATTTGATCAAATTTGAAAATAATATGTTGGTGCGAAGTTTTGTTGCGTCAATTACAATTGACGGAATTTAGAAATCAGCATAGAAATAACAAGAATCTAATAAGATTGGGCGATATATTCTAACGTTTTTAATTATTTTCTATATCTATGATATATATTTATGGGATTGAGTTCTTTTGTTACTTTTTATAAGCATAAAAAAAAAAAAAAAAAAAAAANAAAAAAAAAAAAAAAAAAAAAAAAAAAAAAAAAAAAAAAAAAAGATCACTACTGAGTAAAAATCGCTGGAACAAATCTTGAATTTTGTGTTATCTTAAAATCTTTTCTTGGTCAATTTTAAATTTAGATTGATCTTCAAGTACCGAAATGCAAGGGTTACTTTTCTTTTAAAAAACTATTCAAATAATAACTGAATATATTTTATAACTATTTAACACAGCACATATTATACTTGTAATTGATTATATGATCAACTTCAATGAATTTATATTTTGATTTATAACAGCTATTTTTGAAAACGTTGTTTAAAAAGTGTTTTTATAAGTATTAAAATTCAGAGAAAAAGTAAAAATTAACTTTATATTACAGTGAATATATTTACATTATTTCTTTTAACTGTCTATGAAAATATTAAAAATCATACTTAATTATAAGAATTGTTAAAGTAAAAATTTTAAAAAAATTACATAACCTTTGTTTTTTTAAATTTTCATCAATAAAAACATTAAGGGAATTTTTCTTTTTTTGCTTTTCCTGATTTTGCACATTTCTTTATTTTCCTTTTAATGAAAAAGGGGAACTCCTTTTCATTAGTGATAAAAAAAAATTTAAATTAGATGGAATGTTCAATTTTGCATAAGAGCTTAGAACTACTGTATTAAACTAATTATTTACAGGTTTAAAAAATGAATTTCAAGCTTCTAAAAACATGAAAAAATCAATAACGATAATGAAAATTATTTCAGAAGAAACACCTGGCAGGAGTGTATAATAATAAGTCACATTGGAGATGCGGAAAACTTATAACCAGATTGTATGGATAATACAATAAAAATTTTATGTTAATAAATAATTATTTGCTATTTTTAATAATTTTGTTCATTACAAAACATGAATGATTAGTTTGAATGAGCGATTTAATGTTTGTTTAGAACATTTTTTTTTAAGTCCTAACACCGTGCAGCGATGTCAACCCCTCTGAGCAAGTGCTCACCTATATTTTGAAAAAAATTACTATTTGCGTATCGCACAGAACGCAATGCGAAACGTTGATGTCGATCCTCACTCGAAACCCAACTTTATTACAATATGCCCAACTACGATTGGTGTTTTCACTATTTAGCACACTAGTTCATTTTTTTTTTTTTTTTTCATAGTCACAGATAGTCAAAATTTATAGAAATTATCAAACACAAAGTACAGTTAGAAAATTTTAATTTTTAAATTTTTTTTTCTTCATTTAATTGAAATATGTTGGATAAAAAAAATCTGGTAGTTAGATTGTTTGAGCATTAAGAATAAAACAAACTTTAAATATATTTATATAAACGTTTGTAATTTAAATGGATTTGCTAAGTAATACACGAAATGCTCAAAAAACAGCAACCTTGCTTTCAATGCTCAAGTAATTTTTAAAAAAAGTCAGTTTCTCAGTTCTTTCAGTTTCTTTAATAGGAAATAGACAAGTGCGAGAATAAATTAGCAATGCCAGAATTATGATAGACTTAGAATGATGCAAGTTTACAACACAGTGGCAGCCTAACTTTAAAAAAATACAACTTTTCCAACTAGTTTAAAACCTAATTCTAGAGACTGATGAAAACTAAGTAAATTCTATAGGTGTAGTCAGCTGCCTACTTTTATGCAATACAGAGGAACACAAAGAAGTTATAGGTTAAAAGGTTGTCTTACTCTACAATGATTTTAGACAAGAGTTACATATATAATTAAAAGGTTCAAGGCCTAACTGTTTCTAGCAACTATAAAAACTTAATTTAAAAACCTATTCAAAATGTGCAAAAATGAGAATCTGAACTTAAATTTACATATTGGATCATACATATTCATGAGGCTAGAATTGGTGATTAAATTCCAGTTACAATGTATTATTCTCAACGGCAATATCCAACTTCTTTCATCAACTAGCTTATTTTCTTGTTTTATTTCAACTTTATATATTTTCTCTGATTTTGATTCCCATGCCTTATGCTATGATAGTTTTTAACAAATATCCATAGTTATTTATTTAAATAGGATTTTGAAAGCGTCCCTTAATTGCTTTTGTCAATTCAGACAGTCATCCCCTACCCCCAATCATTTTAAAATACAAAAATTTATACTAAATGAGAATTGTAACCTTGGCATTAATATCTAGCAAAATCAAGAGTTTCCGACTCCTTCTCGGCGAAGTATTTTACAATTTTTAACGAGCACTACCCTCTATAAATTCATGTTGAAAAGTGCTTTGATACTCTTCTTAATGACACCTGACCATCAATTTTGTATTTTCTTAATTTGCACAATACCATTCAACAGCATATGGAGAGCCTTTTTATTTTCTTTTATATTATCTGCCTTATCTTCAACTTAATTTTAGCTGAAGTAGAAGCAGTCGATAGTGAAAAAAATCGGAGCTTGGATGATAAATACTTCTTTCTCATAAACTAAATTTCCAGCTGGATCTTTTCTTCATAAATTTTTACTTTTTATACCTATATCTTTTACTTAAACAATCATAGTATACATCTTATTTAAGGTGTTTTATAAAAGTCATTGAGTCAAGAAAAAAGATAAATTTTTTTTTAACTTGATTTAATTAACATAATCGATACAATGTAAAATCTCAAAGATCTCAATATTTATTTGATCAAGGAACAATAACATCAATGGTAAATGTAAAAATCCACCTATCCAGACATACGTGTTTTCTCAATATAATAAAAAATCACAGCTAGGAAGTATTCATATATAACATTAAGCTACTATTATACAAAAAAAATAATAACCACTCAGCATGAAAAGCGTGGTAAATCAAAAACACACTCAGCACCTTAACATCACCCAATCTTAAAACATGCATTAGAAGTTGTTCAAAATCTTTCCAGAGAGCTCATTTGGTGGTTCTTTAGCAAGGAGGAAACACATTTTGATCGTCCACTATAAATTCAACAAAAACATAATCTGGAAAGACGTTGAAATTCGTGAGAAACAAATCATGCTGGTGGTGTTCAATATACAACCACGATTTTCTTTTAAAAGAATCTCAATGTTTCGTAAATATTTCTTGAAATTCGTCCATACATAATTGTAGCATCTTTGGGGATATTTTTTGATCAAAAAATCACTAACTCTAAAATCACTTTTGCAACTGACTAGAATAATGTAACTTTGGAACTATAGATATTACACTTACTTGCCCAAAAGTAACGCAAGTGACAAATTTTTGGTAAAATTAAGAACAAATACAAATATAGGTACAATTTAAGCTCTTACAAATAAGTACAAACCAGTGTTCTTACATGACAAAGTATAATTTTTTAAACAGAAAGAAAATGGGATATTGCAGAGTAATACAAACTAAAACAAATTTGTAAAAACATAAAAACGTTTAGACTATAAGCAGAGAAAGCTTTTAAACTAAAAGGGCAACTATTTAAATTAGGTGATGAAAAGCAAAATTCTTTAGAAAAACACTTTACAGAAATAGTAAGGCACTAAAAAATTGCAAATTATGCTATAAACTTAACTTTAAAAAAAAAAAAAACAGTTCAATTTGTTCTTTACATTCAAACTGAAAATAAAAAAATTTTTAAGAAAGAAATTCTTTAAAAAAAATTAAAATTGACCAAAACTCTTATTTTGGCTGATGTTTATCATAAAGCAGGGGTGACCAAACTGTGATCCCATATGAGAATAAACACAATGTTTCTCTTCAGTTTTTATGGACTTAATTTTCTTCTTCCAGATTATGGCTTAAACCTCGTCAAAGAAAAGACTCGGCAACCCCTCAAAAGTTGTGTTATTAATAAAGATTACATCATTAACAATGCTTTACCCTAACTTTACTAATTGAGGATACTAGATAAATATGTAGTTTAAAAAGTATATATTTGTACTAAAGTTACAGATAAAAATTATATATAAACATGCATCTGTAAGGAAAACAGAGCTGGGGATGAAAAAGGTAGGCCACCCCTGCCATAAAATATCTACTATTAATTTTAAAAAATCTAAATATTATATTATACACATTGCTTTTTGTATTAATGTGCATGAAATCAAAAAAAAACTTGCCATTTATTCTTTTGAAAATTGGTAAATTAAGTTCTTTCAATTTTTCAGATAAATATGGTTTATAATATGAGTGAGATTTGACAAAAATATATGTAAATTGCTTTAAAACATGTTATATCATTAAAACAAAAACAAAAAAAATTATACACATGATATACCACTAAAAAAGTCCTGCATGACATACCATTAAAAAAAAGTAGCACAAAAGATATACCCTAAGTATATATGCTAACACAACAGAACACATGACATGTCATAAAAGAATACTATAAGTGACCAAACCACCTTATAGGTTGACAATGTCAATTGTATAGTAAGAGAATTGGACCCAGTAAGGGATATCTAGATAAAACTTCTGACAAAGAATATAACAATCCAATTAAACTATGCAAATATGCATAAAAACAAATTTAAGTGGGTTGAACTAATTGTCAAATTAATAAAAGTATGATAGATGGAAAATAAATGCAGAATCATATAAAATTAATGTGACTGAGCAATTCTCAAAACTCTGGTTTATGGGGAATGTGATCTTTTCTCTGCATATGAAAAACATCATGCATTCCTACCAAATCCTCGAATTTATTCAAACCCGAAATTAAATCAAGTGGCCACAAATGAATTTATACAGTAGGATCCGTATGTAATGTGGAGTTTGGAAAACAGAAAAATGCACATAAAATCTGGTTGCTAAGTAAATCTCAGTTTAGATGTTAGTACAAAAAAAAATTTTTTGAAAAAAACACTTCTGTGAATTTCACTTAATTTTTATTGTAAAGTTTGTTTAGCTTTTCAAAATTATGCTTTATTTCATTTTCATTTTAAAAACTTATAGCAAAAGAAATTTTATTGTATGTTTTTTACATAGCTTCGAGAAATTAACACTTCAGAGCACATCGCTATCTCAAGTAAAGTTTAATTCGTTGAAATTATGAATTAGTAGTATTATAGTAAATGAGTATAGGAATCAGTAATCGATAGTATACTGTGAACTTATTTAATTTTTTATTATTCCCGATATATTCACTGCTTCCAAAATAATTTGTTTAATATGGGAAAAAGTGAAAAAATTGATTGCTCAAAGATTCTATGAGAAACAGTCTGTAAGAATCAATTTTCCTCGTTAAATCCTCAATCTCGTTTAGTGCTGAATCGTCATAAGTGAATCCTACTGTATTATAACTTCAAAAATATCTGCATCACTAGTTTTGTTTGGAATGAAACGGATCTTGTTTCGTTTCTCTCTTTCTCTCTCTTTTAACCCAACCGCTCACAACAACATGCTCAAAACGAGAAGCCTGTATATTTCACTTCATGTGAACATTCTTCTCTCTCATAACTAATCAAACAACAGTCATGACCAGTAAAAATCATGAAATCCTGCTCCAAACAAATGTAGGAAAATGAAGACCAAATTTAAGCCTACGGGACAAAGGTTTTGAACAAAGATTCCAAGATAAGTAACATTTAATTAAAAGGGGTGTATGTCTGGATAGGGGCAAAATTAGGCCTCAACTGGGCGCTTTGGCAAAGAGGGCGTAAGTGAGATCGTAGTTCTTGAAGTGGGAGAACTGCAACTCCTTGCGGCAGAAACCACGGAAATCCATTCGGTGATAAAGACCTGGAGCAATGGCAGCAACAGACAACTGGAAAAAAATTTTACATTTATAACTACATGTGGTACTTCAAAAAAAGTGTGAATAGAAATATTAAATAAAATGGAAATGTTAACAGGTTATCTTAAAGAAAAGTACTACTTAAAAAAAAAAATACTAAATTTTTTGTAGTTCTTTCTTAAAAGCAATAAAAAGAAATAAAATAAACATTAACAAGCTATTTTCAACATTAGACTAGGTGAAAAAATCACCAGTAAAAACAAATATTAGACACGAAGAACCACGCTAACTCTTTTAGAAAAGAAATCAAAATTTTATAACTTTAAAAATAAAACTGTATGATCTTGATTATTTAAAATAATTAGGATGGGATCTATGTCAGATAATCTAAATTTTCAGATTATAGAAGTTACTTTGCTTCATAATTTTTATCAATGAACTTTGAAAATAGATAATTTCATTTTTTATAAATTAATGGTATATATAAAGTATTTAAATTTAACATTAATAAGACAATTGATTGTCTTTTTGACAAACACGTATGAAGACACTTTATAATATTCAAATTCATCTGCGCTAATTACAATTTTAAAGAAAATGTTAAAAATCCAACATGTATAAGCGACTTTCAAAACTAGCAAAATAATGGTTGTCAAAAAGAACTACAAGAACTGCTGTAATTCTTTAAAGAAAAAAATCAAAAAGTGTAACTTGAAAATAAACTACAAAAAGCATATTATAACATTATGCTTAAATCTAGATAGTTAACAAATTGGTTTAACCCTTTGCTTACAGCGCTGGCATGGTGAAGCCTGTTATTTCGGTCCACTTGTCAGACCAGCCATAAGCAAAAAGTTAAAGATGTACTAAAATAAACCACTGAAATTATACAATAGACAAAAAAAAAATCAAAAATACTAGTTAAAACTACAATGCATTTATTTCCTTTACATTAACCCATTTAATTTTTAGTTTTGCAATTTTGAACTTTTTAGTATAATTTTTTTTTTATAAAAAGATAATACTAATGCAGTATTTAAAATTATTGATGGTTCAAAACCACTATATCCCTCATTGGACCACTATAAAATAATCACTGGTCTGACCATGACTGCCATTGATTAATATTTGAACAACAGCAAATTCATTTGATAGGAAATAGTATGCTAAAGATTAAAAAGTAATGGGATAATTAGATTCTGCAACATATTTTAGTTCATTCTTTTCTTCTTGAGGTCTATGTTTATCACAGCATTATTTAATTTTAAAATATAAAATGCAAATTAAAGAATGGGAGCATGTTCTTCAAAAAAAAGAAAAATTAAGGCATGATACATTGAATAAAGAAAAAGATATCCAATATGAGAAAAATAAGTTAACTTGTGTATTTCAGAATCAGTGGCTGACAAATTACGAGTGGCTTAAATTTGAAGCGGAAAATAACATTTGTGGCACAATATGCATTATTATTTAATATTGATGTTTATTTTTCTGAATTTTATTTGTATAAGTTGCAATTTCGAGCATTTACATTTTTATATAAGGGCAATTCCATATGTGACGGAATGACAGTTTGACTTGCAAAATAACAATTAATTGAAGTTTCTATGTATCTAATTTCAAATAAAAAAAAAAAATTCTCATGCATATCATTATTATTGGCATAATGCACTTCATAAACTAAAAAAGCAGGATTTTCTATCTTTTTTACTTTTAATTTTACGAACTTTTTATTTGCGTGACGGAATGACATTTTGGCAACCAAGCTTTTGGCATGCCGCTTAGAACTGGTAGTTTCTGCGAATTTTGCAGCTATTATTTTTCTGAACTATTTTATACTTTTAGTATAATGTGTAAGCAATGTAAAATGTGAATTTGGAAAATTAACCTCAGGTTGGCTAGCAGTTATTAACATCTATTTGCTGTGACGGAATGACCGTGACGGAATGACAAAAAGTTTAGTAGAAGAAAGCCTTCATTTAAAAAATGTTTTATTAATATGTAAATGATAAACAGAATGTAACAGATAAACAGGATTAATATTTATGTAAGAATTAGTAAAAATTTCAACAGTTTGAAAATTAGGTTGTCTCTGAAGAGGTTTTATATCTAACTTGCCAATGTCACATCTTATCTTCGTTCTCAGGAAATTTATGCATTATTAAGACATGTGACGGAATGACGTAAAAGAAGTTACTTTTATTTTATATACTAAACTTAAAATGTTTACATTTAGTTCTATATGCATATTTTTATCAAAATATTGCAAAAGAAAGATACATTTCTTTCATTTTGAAAGTATTTTTCAAGAAAACAATTTGAGCACAAATGTGAACAATTCACTTGTCAACCATGCGATTACTTTAGAATGCTGTCAGATTCAAAAAATTTAAAATTATCAAAAATGAAACGGCAATATGTAGACTTTGGCTATTTTTGAATATATTTTTAAAATTAAAATAAGCAATTCATAAAAAAAAATTTCACTTAAATTTGACACTTCCGTGTTATTGCCCTAAAACCAATTTAGTATTTTATTCAATTGTTAAATCAATTTTATTTTAATTTATCAAATTTAATTCAAATCAAACTAATAAATGTGATATTAAGAAGCACAAAAATCATTTTAAGTGAAATACTAATATACTGAATATTAGATTTTATGTGGATCAGTGATATTTTTAGACCAATACATAATGATGCTTATTGAAAAGAAGGACGAGTTACATTTTTCTATAATTTCTAATGATGTTAATGCATTTAATTTTTTCACAAAATATTAAAATCTGCCACAAAAATAAAGAGCATTTAATATTTTTTATCAAAAATATTTTCACTTCAGTAAAGATTAAATCAGCAAAAAGTAAAAATAATTAATGTAAAAAAAAGAAATATTAAGGCAATTCTTGAAAAATGGAATTCATCTATTGGAATTTAAATATATATATATATTTAGAGTAATACCAAATATAAAACTATAATTAAACACTAAAAACAAATCTTACGCCTTTAACACTAAAAACAATTGTAGACTCCAAATTGAGCTCAGGGCACAATCTATTTACTTTCTTACACAATAAACCAGTTTTCCCACATGTTATTCAAACTGTGGAAATGTGTTGGGCAAGGAACTTATTTTACAAATCCGAACAAGTAACAAAACAATTAAAAGGTTAAACGTATTACTATTATGAGTAAATTTCACAAAAAGGTAGCAATATACAAAATATTAAAGTACAAAGCCTAAATTTTATAAAACTTTTAATAATAAAGAAATACAAATACATACTTTGTTTGCAAACAGAGTCATTATGAACTTTCCAGGGCAGAATGTTTTCAATAAACGAGCAATTAAATCAGAATAGGACTCCTGCAGAAAAATTTTCAAACATTATAATTTTATGTAAATTATAAAATAGATAACATATCAATATAAAATTTATCAATTTAAAATCATCCTTTAGATATAATACTATAAGCAGTTTTTGTAAAAATTCTACAATTTTGTAAGTTTCCTTATGCTAATTTATCAATTTTACAATTAATATAATTAAACATATAAGTTTTATAATATTGATTTAGGAATTTTAGATTAATCAAACTATCACAAAAGGAAGAAAAAAATCTCTCGTTATAAAGAGGCCTCTTGTTGTATAATTTTATTGAGAACAAAATTTGGTGGTTGAGAGCAGCCACACAACTACGAAGACTTAAATAATAAAACAGTGTCTTAAGTTAATTCATGCACACAAAATTATAGAAGAGACAATTTCTACATTCACATATAACTGATTTTTATATTAAAAGTGCTTTTGTTATTAATAATTTATTCAGAAACTGAAAAGTATAATACTTTCACAAACATGCAATTAATATAATTTTCCATATTAAGAATTGTATATACAATAGAAAATATTATACCATTAGAATTCATTATGCAGCAGTAGTCTGCAAATTATACAAATTTCGCATCAAAAATTTACTTATATTTTTAAAACCTCAAACATCTTATATTAAACATCTACAAAAAACATAGATACAAAAATTTCTTTCACTTTAATTTAAGTTGATTAACTTTAGCTGTATTAAATTATTTTATATCTGATATTTATTAATTTTGAGAGCCATGAAAGGAATAATAATTAAAATAGTTTTAATTATTCCTTAGCTAATTAAAAGCCATAAAAAGTAAGTGGCTAATTTTAATAATTATATCAAAATGTTTTGGATTTTTTTTACAAAAAAAACATTAAATACTTATTTTACATTCTCAGGTAATTTAACAGTTTGATCTAAATAAAATAGCTCTCCTTGTCTAAAATATAAAGCTTTTGGATAAAATTATTTTTAAAACAATATTGAAATAACAATTTAAAATGCACAAACAAAACCTATGACGCATTGCTCGTCCTTATTGTATTGAATACTGAATCTAAAAAGAGTCTGAATTTTGATCTCATACTGTCCTCAAGGGATAAGTTAATTATTAAAAACTACACATTACCTGTCAACATTTAAAAATGAATAAAAATCAAAACATCTTTAGTGATTAAATACTTGTGCTTTTTTCTTAAACATCATACTTCCAATTGAAAAAATATTTCTTTAATTAATTAGAATAATAAAAATTTTCACAAAAATAGGAAAATATGTAACTTTCACATTAGTTCAGGAGCTAGAGCATCAATTAAGAAATACCCCTCAAAAATATAAAGTAAAAACCTATGTAATTATCAAACATGCAAATCCAAATTCACCTAACATTATGAGAAACACACTTTTATTGAAGTATAATTATTTTATTTTATAAAAAATTAATGGCAACTATTTTCGAAATGAGAAAAAACTTGATCATATATTTTTAGGGGAAAAAAAGAAGCGACTACATCTTACCTGAGGGTAATTAGTTTCAAAGCTCACATATGAATATTTTGGTTCTGGAGTAATATGTATAGTGACATAATAGCCCTGAAAATAAAAACACATTAATGTCAAAAAACCTAAATCAAATACTATATTATAATTTATCTGAACTAATGAAATAACTAATGAAAATGCTGACAAGTATAAAGATTTATTCTAGTTTAGAAAATATAAAATTAAAATAAGATGTTCAACACTTGATTGTCATCTTAATTGAACACTTTTGTTACAATTATAAAAATAATTATGAAAGAACTGTAATAAATTAGAATTATTTATTATACTTTATATTTTAGTATGGTTATATAAATGCAAGTCCCTGGTTCGATCCTGGGGCCGGGCAAGGTTGACTCAGCCTTTCATCCCTTCAGTGGTTCGATAAATGAGTACCAAGCCTGCTTGGGAACTAAACACTGGGGGTTCGGCTGACCACCTGACCGGAACATCTGCTCTTGCACACCAGAGCCCAAGGTCAAGAAAACTGAGATGGGCACAGTAGGCCTTGGCCCTCTATGGGCTGTCGAGCCACTGAGTTTAGTTTTATATAAATGCAAGATTATAATTAACTGTAATTTGAATGCAAAACTTCTTAAATATTTAAAATACATAAAAAAAAGAAACTTCTACATTATTAACTTGTTTATTCAATGTTAGTAAATTTGTACTTAGAGAAAAAATAGGGAAGAATATGTTTAAAAATATTAACTTCATAGCTTATTAAAAAAAATACAAAACATAAAAAAAAATTACACCACTTCTTCTATCATTTATTTTCACAAAATGATTATACTATTAAAAAAAGATTTAAATTGCACTTTACATAATTGAATCAATTCAACAATTTTCATGTCTAAAATTTTACATTTAAATGCAGAGACAAATTTAGAGATAGACTTCTGTAAATTAGGGTAATAATGTGTATACAAAAAATAAGCATGGTTATTAGCAATTAATTACAAACATCAATTAAAACTTTTTTTTATAAAATTTAATATAACATTGAAAATCAAAATATATATTACAATGTAATTATAATTACCCCTTTGAATAATCCATTCATTGAATATCCACATGGCTCAAACAGATAATCATCAATCATGATTCCTGGAAAAAGCTTATCAATGCCAGACTTCATAGTTGCTTCTTTGGCATTAGAACAAACTTCTCTGGTGAAAATCTTCATAATTTTGGGATCCAATTCTTGCATCATCACGTATTTAGTTAAGAAAAACTCAAATCATAAAAGATTGAATAAATATTTTTTATACAATACCTATTTCTCTGACTTAATATAAAAAAAATAGTAAGCTTAAGTTTAAATGAACCATAACAAGAACAAAAAAGTTTTTTAAAAGATCGTCATAATAGATCATAAAAAAAAAGAGGTTTTAATGCTGAATAAAGCAATATTTTGCAAACAAAAAATTTTTAAAGTTAAAAACAATCAAGGAATTTTTGTAAAAAATTTGACTTAAAAGGTAAATTAAAAATCAATGGTTAGCACTTATGTGATTAATAACAAAAAAAAACGTTTAAAAAATTGAAACAATTGACAAAGGTTTGAAAAATAGCTTTTTATTCAAAATTTTCTGATTATACACAAAAAGCAAAATTTTATAAGATGCTATTTTTTTGTATCAAAATTCCATTTATTAATTACATACATAAATTTAGCATTATGTTGATTGGATTGTAAACACATTTTGAAACTATAGCAAAACAATCTAACCATAGAAGGTACGATTTTTAATTTTATTTTATTGTATTGTTAATTTTTAACATATTTTATGCATTTAACACTTGATAAGTTATAATATTAAAAAAAAATATACATTACAACATTACTTGAAAGCGAAGCAGACTCAACACTTTTCTCCATAATGGTTCAATTAAAAAAAAAAGTTAATAAATCCCAGTTCTGTTTAAATTAACTTATTTCTAAAAATTACATTTTATATAGAAATTCAGACAGTAAAAAAAAATTAAATCTTTAAATTGATCACATAAAAATAAACAATGAATCAGAAAACTACATAAAATCATTTTGATTTATATTTTAAAAATGGAACTCATTTTTAAAGTGAAGGTTTCAAAGTTGCTATACCTTTAAAAATATTCTACAAACATTTTGTAAGAATTTTCTATTTTCAAAAACATTTCAAAATTTGAAAGAAAAAAAATTGTGTTTAAAATTGCGCAAGATATAGGCATTTAAAGTAGTTCTTTTATACTATGTATATGTGTAAAAATTTTTTAAAAAAAAATTTTTTCATAATTTTGCAGTGTATTATATTTAGTAACTAATAAAAACAGTCCAATTTGAATATCTTGAAAATTTAATAATTTTCCAAGCAGTGTTAGTACATTTCAAAAAAAAACTTTTAAAAAACACTTTCTCAATTTTCAAGATATTCAAATCAGACTTTTTCATAAACTATCAAATACGACTTACTTACGTGCATGTGCTATATGAAATAACTACTTTAAATGCTCATATCCTGCAAAATTTTAATTAGTTTATCAATTAATTTTCTAAAACTTAGATTATTGAAGCGATAAAAATATAATTTGAAAAAAAAATTAACTTTTTTGCAAAAGGGCTAGGTAATAGTAATTCAAATCTTCACATTTAATTTTCATTCTTCTCATTGTGCAAAAGAGATAACAGGAGACAAAAAGCACAGAAGGAAAAATATTTTCATATAAAGTTATAGAAAGGATATTTCTAATGTTTGATCCGGAACTTGAACGCCTATAAAATCTTCAAGTGGATTGAGAGTATATAAGTACCTAAAAAAAGATATATAATAATTAATAGAAATATAAGATGTACATAAAAGGTACAATTATTATAAGTTATATATATATATAGCTTTAAAACTAATCATTCAAATCATTCAAGATTATTCGAATCTGAAGAAAAACTTACTCATCGGAAAGTTCAACTTACCATTAGTTTCTTTTTCTTTTTTTTTTTTTGCTTTTTAGAGTACAATTGAGATACTACAGTTAAAACTAGATTATTGACTAAATAAAGAATTTGTAAACTACTGAAATGCATTTTTAAAATTAACTGAATGTAACGTTACAAAAGAAGACAAAATAGAACAAAAGAATAAAAAATATAATACAACTTCATGAAGTTCCAAAGAACTAAGCAAAAGACTTTTGAAAAAATGCACCAAAGAAGAATCATTTACGATTTGTCAAATTGACCATCTTGAAAGTTGGCCCTTATTATAAAGAACCGAATTCATCCTACACAATAAAAGGGAACAACTACCTCATAAATTGAGCCCTTGTATCTTGATTACTGATATAAGTCAAATTTGTTTAGGAGTATTAATGATCATTATTCTAAAAATAATTCTAACCCTTCATAAATATATAAGAATAAAAACTTTATCATCAAGACATCTTCCATATCACATGATAAGCACACTGCTCAAGATCTTAAAAAAAAGAAGAAAAAAACGGGCTTTTTTTAAAAAAGAACTAACCCAGGTTGCCTTTTTTGGGTTTTATTAAGCTTTTTGGGTTTAAGATATTACCTAGTTAAACACTTTTAGATTTAATTTTTAATTCAAAAGTTAACAATTTTAAAAAGAAAACTTATATACGAAAATAATAATTAACTTGGAAATTAAAATTTTTAAAAAATTTAATTTTAATGTAGTACCATCTTTTTAGCTGCAATTAATAAAAGATTCTTAAATTCTTACCTTTAGTAAAAATAAAATCATAATATTGGGATCAGAGAAATATGCTGTTTTCTGTTTTATTTATATATTTTAAAACATTCATAAGGTATGACTTCATCTTTTAGTAATAAAGTAACTTCAGAACTACTCTTTATTAAACAATATTCTTAGTAGTTTTAGAAATTACTCTTTAAACTATTAGTTTTGATTTGAAAATTCCAGAATCAACATATTTAAGATAAATATTAAATCCCTTAAAATTTCTGTTAATTCATCTATTTCTCTTTTATCTCATTCTTTATTAATCTATTTTGATTACATTTATAAAAAACTGGGGAGATAAAACCATTTTAGCCCAGATTTATATGGTTCTTTTTAGGTTTTTTTTTTTTTTAAAAAAAGCACCCAGTTTTAAAGTTTGTGGGTAGGTCAAAAACTCTGATACTGCTTGATCAAATTCGGTTCAGATCTCAATACAGGCTATATCAAAGTGTGAGTTGATCAATACACAAGTGAGGATTGTACTCACAGTGCTGCAGAGAGTCATAGTTGTGGAATGTTACATTAAAACATATTTATGGAAAGAGTTATCAGTTTGCTCATGAATTTAATGGTGTCAAACTGCCAGCATAGAATGCCATACAACAATTTGTCACAAAATGGTGCCAAATAGGATCTGTTTAAAACAAGGCAAAAAACATTCCAAAAACTTTGTAGGGAAACAAAAAAAACATAACATTTTTTCAAAAAAAATCAGGACATTTTTTAGTACAGTAAACATATATCAGAATTCTCCCTAGGAATAAAAATGGGCAAAGCACTTCCTCAGAGAAAAGGGCACATTGAACCTCATTCAACACCTTAAAAATTTACCAAATTGTGTAATATTATCTAACAGCTGAATTTGAACCACACAAATTTTTAAATTACCCTCTTATAATGTTTTATGTATATATTTCAAAAAGTAATTCTCACACATTATCAAAAAAAAAGAAAAATTTGTAGTTTATAAAAAATAATTATAGGTATGCTAAAATACAATCTCTGAGCATAATATTCTTCAAAAAAAAAAGTAAACCAAGAAAATTATAAACAACTTAAAAGCTTTTTTTCTATGCTTTAAACTGAAAATTATTAAAAAGGACATTCAAAAGTGCCTTTAAAAAAAAAGTATTTAAAAAATAATTCCCTTTTGAAAAACGAGAAACTTTTAAAAAGAAAGATTTAAGAAAAAAAATTTAATTTTAAGATACAAATTGAACCAGTTGAGAATAATCCTAATAAAGAAAATATTTATAACAGCAATCAGAATTAAACCTATAAACACAGACAATTTTACCAGTGTGTAATTATTTAAACAGTGAGTTATTCATTTTTTTTTTTTAATGGAATAAGAGTAAAAAGCAGTGTTTCTAAGAGGTCATGACTTATGTTTATGAAAAGGACAAACAGGGGACATTTATAGGGATCAAAGGGCAGATAGGGAAGGCCGCCCTTCTAAAAACATTTAGGGAGAACACTGCATATACCAGAGTACTTTTTAAAAAAGAGGGCAACATTTTATTTTCTTTAAGAAAAAGTATAGTTTGCTCTACTTAAATGTAATGAACGTAAATCTTGTTGTAAAAGAATAATAAAATTTACTACTTTTAATTTCAAATTACTTTGCTTAGAACAGTACATTTTAAAAGCAAGCTGTAAATTTTATCAATACTGAACACCTCACAATTACTTTTAATCTATGTCTGGAAAAATTTTCAACTACTGTTGCATTACAAATGGGGTTTTTGATAAGTAAAATTTCAAAGTCAGGTTAAAAAGATTAAACAACATTTTTCTTTATTTAGATTGGTAATGTGATACATATAAGAAAATATGAGTAATGATAGGAGAAAAAACAATGTTTCATCCATTTCGCTACTACAGCATTATACCATAAGAGGGTCAATTACATATTTTACTGTACTATTTGGTAAGTAACATTCAATTTGTTAAAGAAACAATAATTTAACTTTTCAATATTACAACACAATATTACTCTCAAACTCACCAACAATCTCTGTTAAGTCTTCCCAAACAGTAGGCAGAACCTATAAATAAAGATAGTCATTACAACTAATATATGAAAACTATACATAAAAAAGGTTATTCAAAATTAGTAGAGAACTTTAAATTTTAAAAGATGCACTTAAATATATATTTAAAGGGCTGCATACAATGATAACCAAATGAGGAAAAGTATATTTAACTGAATTCTTGCTATAATTTTATTCTGACAAAATGCACTTTTATGGTTTAAGAAACAAAAGCATAAAACAGTGATATTGAAATAATTCCAACTACAAACAAAACAAATCTTGACAAAACTCAACCTTACATCTCAATCAACTAAGATCTGAGCATGAAATTCAAATTTCAATTTAAATTAGTATTAATTTAAACTATTATTGAACTAAATTATTATTTTTTATGCACCATACAGGCATTAAAGATGTTATCATACTTTAAGATTTAAAGAAAAAAATCCATCTCTATTATAATTTCAATTGTATTTTAGTGTTAGATATAATAGTACTAGAACTGTACAGTTCTATAATGGTTTCAACTAGCTTGCAATATTTTACTCAATATAATAGTATGAAATACATTTCACCAAAGTCTATATCTTTTTACAAAAGAATACATTAAAAAAGGAATTGAAAATAAAATTTTTAAAAGTCTCCCCAAACGGAAATGTTTAAATAATTTAAACTCAACTGTAAAATACAGCTTATGAATATTTTCTTTAACAAAAATGAAAGCTTAATATAAAAAATAGACAAATTTCAGCAGTGTATCACAACTTTAAAAAATTTAAAACTTAGAAAAATTTAAAAACAAACTTACCATCAAACAATTCATCAAGAACCTCAGTCTAAAAAAGTAATAAATTATTAGAATTAAAGACATTTTAAAATAATTTGCACAGACACATAAGATTAAGGAAGAATTAAAATAACATAACTTCCAATATTTCAAAATAAAAAAAACTATGGAAATTTATATACACAGAAATAGATATTTTAGGATTAAATATTAACACTTGTACAACGAGGGAGAAAAAACACCTTAAGTAATAGGTTGAATGAAAAGTAATTTTTTCCCAACCAAGTACAGTAGAACTCCAATTTTCGAATCAATTGGGACCGGACCCCATTCGGATAATCAAAAATTCGGATAGTTGGATTTTTTTTTTAAAAAATTCTTATTTTAAATAACTACTGTTTGTATAGTGGAAATGAGGGGGGAAAATGTTTTTAGGGATTTCTTCTAAGGATTTCAAGGATTCTTAAGGATTTCAACAATTCTTCTGTGGGATGAGTTGGTGCATTATCAACAATCAAAAGCACAGGACTTCCAACAGATTTTTGGCTTTTTTTCACTTCAGGAATGAAAATTTCATCGTACCACTCTGTAAACAGTGCTGCAGTCATCCAAGCTTTGTATTGGTTTTTATAAAATAGGGGAAGTTTTTTGATATTTTTAAATGCTCTTGGGCGTTTTGACTTCCCTATTAACAGAAGGGGTATTTTATGGCTCCCAGTTGAGTTCGGGCAGTTAAGCACAGTAACGCGGTCTTTACTAGCTTTATGCTCTGGAGCACTAGGAGGCTTTGGCACTGCACTCTCTTTTAGAGGCTAAAGTGGTTTTGGGTAAAGCTTTCTATATTAGACCAGTCTCATCGGTGTTGTATAAGAAGTCGGAATCGTAAGAGGCTGCTATAACTTTAAATTTTTCAATAAACTCGTCAGAAGCTTTGGAGTCTGCAGATAACTTTTCACCACTTAAATCTAGTTCACGAATACCGTGCCTAGACCTAAAATTCCTTAGCCAGCCGTTACTTGCTTTGAAAGATAAATAACCCAGCTTTTCAGCTAAGATCTTAGCTTTTTCACAAATCTTTATCCTATCTTGTAAACTTTCACTGCATAAATCTTTCCTTGGCTTTACTAAAATTTTATTTCATTCATATAAAAAAAGAATAAAAAAAGAGAAACTTATCTTTTTACTATATTTTCATATTTCCATAGAAATTCTGAAAGCGATTCGGATAATCGGCGATTCGGGTAGTTGGAGTTCGGATAATTGGAGTTCTACTGTAATAGCAAAAACTAATACTTAGTACAATTAAAATCAAAGTTAAATTAATATTAGTCAAAACTGCGTGCTGTAAAGCTAAACAGATTAATATTTATTATCCTTGTCCCTCGGAGCAACCAAAACGTCCTAAGCTCAGTAGCACAAAAAAATACTTGTCATGTATATAAAAAAAAACATAAATCTCTTAAATTTTCCAATGCAAATAGTTACAAGATAGCCACAAACACCATGGAAAAATTCTATAATATTTCTCTAATTTTAAAAGAAAGATTTATCAAATTACCTTATTTTTTTATTGATGGCTTACAAATTATTATTAATTTTTCAGTTCTGTCTTATTCATGTAACTAAAATATATTGTATAACATTATTACTAATTATTAAATATGAAAACAAATAATTAAAAAAATTACAAAATAGATTACACTAACATTAAGTGAAAGGGTTCAAAGAGACAATAAATTTTTAAAAACACACTTTTTTCTTTCTGCTGCTGCAATTTAAAAACAAATCAAAGGTAACTGTAATAGTAATTGATGGCTTGCTGTAGGAAATATTTACTGTTAATTAGCATAAATGCCTCTGAGGATATATTGTTGTTATATTAAAAACAACAAATATTTTTGATAATGGGGCCGTTCAAAGCAGTGTTTTCACTACAGCAGTGTTTCCCAAACTTATGAGTTTTGTGTACCCTTTCTAAATTTTTCGTAACGCTGTGTACCACTCATAAAGAAATGAATGCATTTTTTACTGTAAAAAAATTGCGCAAAAGTTAAAAATCACAACTGGCTATTGACACCGCTAATTATTAACTGTTAACTCTGCAAAAAAATAGCCAATAGAAAAATACATAATCGTAAATTTTCATGGCTAGCTTTGTTTTTAAATAAATTTTTTTGAAATTTTCGTTTGCTGCAAGATATTTCGCATAAGAACGCGTACCCCCTCTAAACTTTTCCCGTACCCCAGGGGGTACGCGTACCACACTTTGGGAAACACTGCACTACAGCATGAGAATGCGAGAATCTCGCATATTTTTTTATATTCTCGCATTAAAAAATGATTACCGCGAGAAATTTGCGCATTCTATAAACCAATTTCAAAATTCGCGAATTTCTCGCATTTTGAAAAAAATTTATCATTTGCGCCATTTAGAATAAAATCCGTTTCACCTTTCTTCCTGGATCTTTTATTATTTTCAACATCTGCCCTATTATCTAGCTTCCCTATTTACCAGTATTGTTTAGAACCTTTAAGAACAACAGAACACCATCCCTCGGAACCTCTTTCGGAACACATTTCTCTGCAACCACTTCATGTTCTTCAAGTAAGACTTTCTTCATGTAAGACTTTCAAATTTTTTGCTCGTTAATGTAAGATGGACAAATACCTTGTAAAGCCAATATCTTCTACTCCGAAACGGACAAATGAAAATGAAACAAATGTGGGTAGAAACGATCAAAACGAAACAAATACGCATTTGAACAACCTAATGAGAACAGCTGATGAAAAAGTAGATGTAGAACATTTTCCATATGATGATGCACCAAAAATATTCAATGCTTTAAAAATTGGACGATGTTAAAAATGCATTATAATTAAAGAAATTTTTTTTTTTTAAGTCTCTTTGTGTTTTTTTTTTTTTAACTTTTTGAAATCTCACCCTGTTTTTGAGAAAGGGTGAGAAATTCTCGCTCATTTTTTTTCTGAGATGAAAACACTGGTTCAAAGTAACGGGAGGATGGAGTTTGTGATTTGCATATTTTTGCTGACAAAGGGAGAAGAAGATATGAGCAATGCTTTTATATAACTTCAAAAAACTATCACTTTAAAAATTTCCCAAAAAAGCAAAATAAAAAATGTACCAAAAATGTTGCATGTGGAAAACTTTCAAATTTGGAATAAAAGTTGAATTCGAGGAAACAAATATTTGTAAAAAAACTTCAAAAAAGAGTTTTAAATGTCTAGAGTTTTGAATACAAAAAAAAATCCTAGAGAATATTCTACTCAAAATTTTACAAACTGTAAAATGTTAATTTTTGTTTCAAGTTCGTCAATTTTTGTTTCAAGTTATAAACTGTAAAATGTTAATTTTTGTAAGTTATAACTTTTATTTGAATTATATTCTAAAATTAGATTACTATGATGAAGATCAAAGTTTAAGCACAAACTAAGAGGATGGTGTAATCTAATAATGGTTTCCACTCAATTTCAGAAAAAAAATTCCCTGACTTTTCCAGATATATCAGGTAAATTGAATTAAAATCCAAACCATATTTTAGCTATACCATACAATTTTTCATCAGAACACTTTTTTTTAATTATTATTATTATTTGTAATGTCAAATATTACATGAAACATAACACATAACAAAAACATAATTGAATCAGAATGGAAACAAGGAAAAGTTTCACTAAAAAGTAAAGTTTTATAAAATAATTGCAATACATGTCAGAATTATTCAACTCCAATCTTGATAACTGTTACTGACAATTTTAAGACTGGTTATTTTCCAGGTATAATAAAGGAATTTTCCAGGTTTTTTGTAAAAAAATTTTCAACTTCCCTAACTATTCTCTGCTTTTTAGAGTTAAGATAAAATTCTCTGACAATTCCAGGTTCTCCCTCTTTTCCATGACCCGTGGGAACCCTGTCTAATGTAAGCATGGGAGAGGTTTATATTTTGCTAATTTTTCTGACAAGGGGAGAAAAAATCTGAAATTGTCAAAAATATGCCTATGTAACAGTGATATGATCTCAATACAATTATTTCGAATAAATCATAAACTTTTTGCTTAGGGATGCTTATATCTATGTACACAAATTGAGATAAAATCAAACATTAGAAAATTTCTTTCAAAGTTAGCAATTTTTTTTTTTCAAATATATGATTTTAAGGAGCTTAAAAAAATATAAAAACTGTTTCCCTGATTATTGAGTATTTGAATAAAATTCTTCCATTTTTTTTTTCAGATTGATGAAATTGTTTTTTTTGCTTGTGGCCATAATTTTATTATTAATGAAGAACACAATATTTATTTTATTAAATACTAGAGTAGCGAACTATGAATAGTAAAGCAACAAAAGTATTTATCATAAAATAAAGCAGTTCTGAAATCTGATGATTGTCAAAATAAAACATAGCATAAATAGGTATCACAAGTCAAATGTAACACACTAATAAAAAAATTAGAAAATTACAAAAATATTTACCTCATCTTCAAAACTGGTGTGTGGTTTGTCTTGAAGCTCAGGGCGAATAAAATTCTTCCTTGAGTAAAAAAGATCCTAAAATAATATTTAAAAAATTTAATTTTTATACCTTAATTTTTAAAAAAAGTGTATTTCGTGTAAAACAGATTTCGTCTATGCTTTATTATTATAAACAATTTAAACCAGAAGACAAAAACTCAGTTCTTCTAAGAGTTAAGACAACATTTTCACGCTTCAGTAAAAATGGTAATAAAATAAAGTAATTACGAAATGTGTTAAAATGTAGCTGCAAGTTGGATTATAAACTCTTAATTATAGAACTAGTGAATTGAAACGAGTTTCTCATTAAAAATCATTAATTTCATAAACAAAAATATATAATTACTTAAGTAGATAAAAAAAAGTAGTTAAGGAATAATTAGATTTGAAATGAAAAAAAATTTATTAAAAATGTAACAATTCTCAATTTTTATCCAAATTAACATCATAGAAAAACATCAAACCTAAGAAAAAAAATATTAAATTGTTTATATATTTATACATATACATATATCTAAATCAATAAACTTACCAAAACAATATCAAAATCAGTCATATCCCTGACAACATAAATCAATGCTTTGACAGCTCGAAGCAAAGTTGTAGAGCCACAGGTCTTTAAAATAACACGATTCTTCGAGACAAATAAGCTGCTTTCACTAAAAATTAAAAGATTTTCTGTAATTTTTTTACTAAACTAAATTACAATTAAAAAATTTTAAAACTACATTTAAAAAAAAAAACTTTTTCTTAATTGATCGAAATCTGAATCTAAAAAATCTTTCACACTTTTTTTGTGCTTATTAATTATTCTATTGCCAACCTTATGTCTAACATTTAAGTTTAACATTTAATTTGACAAATAACACATTTGACACATGGCATCTATTGGTGCAGCGAGAATTTCCCAACAAACCAATAAAATATTTTTAACTTGTAAAAATTTTGTAGACAATTTTTTTTTTTTTTTTTTAAGTTTAGTAACACATGGTTTTTTAGCAGTCATCTTATACAAGAGATATATCAGTAATTTGCTATCGAGTAATCATCAAAAACGAAAAAAGAGTCTGCTTATATATCGGGACATATGATCGTAGAATCATAGTACTGAAATTTTCTATTCTTTTAATTATTCTAAAATATAAAAATTTGGAGGCTTCAAAGCTCTTTCTAGTAATTGAAATTCAATATAGTGTCCTTAATATTTAAGTACCTTGATGCAATAGCATGGTATGTTCAAATTCTTATTTAACGCATATTTAACCACTGACCAAATAGCTACTAACATCAAAGAAAATCAAAATCCAGTAGATCTCATGCAATAGTCCATGTTTTTTACATTATACAATATCTAAAAAACTAATTTAGCAAATTTTACAGTCAATAAATTACAAATACTAGATTGCACTAGAGATTATATATTTAAATTGACTGCAATACCTTCTATTTATGATTGATACCAAATGGACTTGAAAATAAAAAAAAATTTATGTTTTGTATATTATATTTTTGAATTTCATTTTTTAAATTAATGAATTCATCAGCACATGTCACAATAAGCATTACAGTTACAAAAAGATTCCAATTCAAAATTTTAATCCTATTGTTAAATGTATGTTATGCATGTTGTATGCGTGGATAAATAAGACAAATCATGAAATAACAAAAGATACTTTAACATTATTTGGCAAATAAAAATAGTGAATCAATACAATTAAATTAAATATCAAAGTCTATTTAAATGTACGCGAACAAAGTCTCCAAATAGCTTCAGTAAAAACGATACTCATATATATTATACAGTTTGCACTGTTTTATCATTCTTCTCAAATATGAAATGAAATTAAATGCACTTTTAATTCAATCCATGCTTATTATTTTAGTAAATTTCTTAACATATCCAACAAAGCAATATCCCAATTTGCGATCTTTGTTTGAATGACTTCAGAATGATTATAAAGCTAATCAATGGCAAATTAATCTATAACAATACTGAATAAGTTAACTCTTCAAACAAACTTAACAAATTTTAATAAAATTATCACAGTGGAAACAATTTTATATCATTCATAGAACAAAACAATTGTTTTTACATTTTTTATTTAAAAAAATATATAATATATATAAAACAAAACAATCAAAATGCTTAAGCCCCCTTATTGTTGTTCAATGATTCAGAATGAATTTTGAAATTACCACGTAATACTCAGTATAGAAGGTCTTGTAAGAAGGTAAGTAGCTTTACTGCCAAGTCATCAATGGACGACACCATAAGCAAGCTGCAGATAAGAGAACAGAATATAACCTCAATTCAATGAGAAAATAAAAAAAAAGGTCTTACTGTGAGATATTTTGTAAATTTTAAATTATCCTTTGAAATTTTAAATCCCAGATAACTTTAAACAAACATTTCTACCATTAAAAAATAAAAATTAGTCCTGATTCCAATAACCCCCAAGTTTTAAATCATGTGCAACATTTGTTGTTATAACTTAATTTGAAAAGAATGATTTTTTAAAAATTAAAATTATTTTAAATTAAAATGTAATTCTCGAATTTTCTTCCTTTGTTGCAGATTGAAGTAAAATTGAAGTTTAACAAATACTAAAAAAAAAATTTATTTTGGCAACAATAAAAAAACACCTATATAAAATTATATATTTTCTCTCTATAATCATTAAATAAAAATAATTAAACAGCAAATTAAAACATTAAATATAAATAATTTAATTCCAACAATGCATTAATAATAAAAATTAATATTTAAAAGTAATCTTAACAACATACCTTAATACATAAGAGTCCAAATGATCATTCTTCTTATAACTAATTATCTCACATTTCACGATTTTTAACAGCTTCTCCCATGTAGATCTGAAAAGCAAAAATAAAAATTTAGCCATAATAAAAACAGAATCAGGTAGTCAGATGCATGCACTTTTAAACTTTCGATAAGGTCATAGAATTTATTTTAAAAAGAAATAGTTTTAAACCATAATTCATAGTCTCTTCAAAAAAACTTATACAAGAAATAAATTGTATTTCATATTAATTTATGATTCACATGTTACCTATTAAAAATGAACTTTATAGTTTAAAATTGATGTAAATAAATACTTAAAATTCTATTTAAAAAAAAAAAAGACTTATTATATCAAAAATATTTCAACGAATTAATTTGGTTCAAAAGTGAAAATCAAAAAATGTATGATTATTTCACTATAATTATTGCAGACATCAACGTTTGAAGAGACTCTAACTGCCATTGTTATCAGGGGTCTGTCCAGACATTTTGTGAAAGGTCCGGTTTTTGTGAAGTTGTGAAAAAATTACTCATATTCTTTCAACCACGGTCCTGCTTTTATGAACTTGTGCAAATAGGGTCCGGTTCCGGTTACTGAAAAAACTTTTTCAAGGAGTCTTTAAATTGTAAATAGATACAAGAATTGTAAATAGATACTCAGCACTGTAACATTATAGTAAAAAAATTAAATTTTCAAAAATAAACAGCAAATAGCTGCTTCTAAATTAGAGATGCAACAAACAAATATTTGGTATTTAGCCTATACTGCTGAACGCAGAATATTCATTTCGGACGAATAATGGAAGAATCGTCTGCCGAAGACAAAACTTAATTCGTTTACATCCATCTTTCTTGTTTTCTGCCCTGGGAAGGGTTTATTCAATTAACAAAACAATAATGAAGATAAAAAAATTTGTGAAGGGTCCGATCAAAAGAAAAATCATTTTGCGAAGGGTCCGTTTTTAAGTCAAAATATTTTGTAAAGGGTCCGTTTTTATGAAAAGATATTTTGTGAAGAGTCCGTTAACGGACCAAAATTTCTTCTAAACAGATCCCTGGTTATTATGAGTTCCATTTAACATTTATATAATTATGCATAATTATTTTTATCAAATCATTTCAGGGATGGCAAGTTTCAACACAGGAAAAAATTACAATAAAACAAACCGCCTTGGAAAAAATAGGTTTATTTTGGCAAGCGAAAGAAGAAAAAAATCTTTTCAAATGTCAAAAAAAATTTTAAAATATCAATGAAAAAAATTTTTACATTTTTTTATTACAACTTTAAGTAATATTATTAAATTCTAAGCTAGTTAATATAACATTTTCAAATAAGTGAAAACTAAAAAACTATAATTCAAAAGTAAAATTAATTTAATTTCTTAAATTAAATTGTAACTGTAGCGGTAACTGTAATGTATAAATTGTAACAAAACAGTATTTAATTTTACTAGGATAAATCAATATAGTAAAATTTTATTTTATAAATATGAAAAGAACTATTAAAATAACATCAAATTTTATTATATTATTGAATTAATGAGTCACATACTAAACATATATACAACTAAAATTGCATATATATACAAATGCACATTTACAACTATAGCATACTAATTCTCGTTATCTAATGCTATTTGAATATTTAAACCAAGTTTCCCATAACATGATACAGATTTTAAAATTCTGTAAAATTAACTAAAATATATGAAACTAAAATAAATTTTTCAAAAAAATTTGACCTCAAAAACTAAAATTTTTGTTTCCACAATAAATTTGCATAAATTAAAGCTGATTCTTATGATACTTTTTGATAAATAATATAGTGGTCATTTTTAGCATCTTCCATTTTTTTAGTTATTTCCACGTTTTTCTAGTGTCTTTTTTTTTTATCCTTAAAAAATGCCTCGTAATATTGGTTATCTGAAATGCTTCAGCTTCATTATTTAGTGAAGTCTAAAAACTAAAAAGATTCATCCCTCATTCAAAAAAAAAAAAAAAAAAAACTTATAGTAATATAGAGAAAAGACTATAGAGAAAAATATTTGGAATTGTTGCAAAGTTTTTACAACTAATTTTGATGGCTAAATCTGTCAATCTGAAACGTTTCCATATTATGTCCCATACTGTATCCTTATTACAAGTTACAAGTATCATTTTATATACTTCAAAACTCTACTGTACAGAAAAAAAAAAAAAATAACAGTTAAATAAAATATCTTTCTTAGCCATTGCTTTCCTAAAAACATGTTTAATAAAAATAATAAAAAGAAAAATCAACATTTATGGCCTATTAATCTTCAATTATGTTAAAGTTATAATCTTAAATTATGTTATTGAATAACTGAAAAAGCAAAATTATTAATTTGATCAAAACATTTTTTAAAAAAATGTCCTGAAAAAAACTAGCAAAACTACAATTACTTAAAAATTACAGCAGAAATAGACCTTGTAATAATTCCACAATTATAGAATAATTCCAGTGATAATTCCTCTAGTTTCAAACAAACGTTTGCTGGCCTTAATTTTCTCTTATGATATAAAATTGAACCTTGATCTGCTATATCACAAAAATAAGTCAAATCACAACCATACCATGAGCAGATGATGTGACTGATAAAATATTATTACATAAGAATTTATATTGTATCACCTACCAATTAATAAAGAAAAATCTACTTCTATATTTTATTAATATTAATTTAATGAGTCACATACTAAACATATACACAACTACAAATTGTAGCCTATATTGACCTATATTGAAATTACAATTACAGATAGCATACTTATTTTTGTAATTGAATACTAGTAAGTATGAATATTGAAACCAACTCTTCTAATAACATGATATACAGATTTTAAAAGTCTGCATTAACTAAAATATAAAGCTAAAATAAATAATTTTTAAGAAATTGATCTGAAAAATTAAAATTTTTGTTTCTACAATAAAAATTATTTTTTTAAAAATAAAAAAATCAATATTTTTTGTCAATTAATCTTTACTTATGTAATGGAATAAACTGAAAAAGCAAAATTATTAATAAGAACAAAACATAAAACTGTCCTGAAAAAACTAGAGAGCGAACAATGACTTAAAAATTATAGCAGATAAAAATAGACCTTTGAAAGAAAGTGATAATTACAGTGGCTTCAAACAAAATTTTGTTTGCCTTAACTTTCTTAGGATATAAAATGAACCTTGATCTGTTATATCACAAAAAAAAAAATCAAACCACAACCACACCACGAGCACAAGATGTGACTGATAAAATATTATTATATAATATTAATATACTGTAACACCTACCAATTAATAAAGAAAAATTTGCTCCTATTTTAGTACTCAATCATAAAATTTAAATAATTATTACACTATGATTAAAAAATACTTCATTTAGTTCAAAGATCCACAAACTGTCTTGCCGACCAAAATTCGCCCCTGGACAATTTTAAGTATCATAGAAAAATATATAAAAGAAAAACTAATGAAAAAAATATAAAAGTTGAGGGGGAAAAAATTTCTGCCATAAGGGAAAAAAATATAGCTATATTAGATAACTATATTTTGTTTTTACACAAGCCTGTACTTCAACCATTTTGTTTTTAAAGTTTCACTCATGGTTCTAAATCTAGGACTCCAATGGGTATGAGTACTGATAGGAAAATGTAATTTCTTACAAATTTTATTTAAGTTACTGTGTACCTAGTTACTTTAAATTACAGTTTTACTTTACTCATGTTGGCTGCCAATATGTTTTTTTTTTAAATTGTGCACTCCACTATAAAAAAAAGTTGTGCATCCCTAAAGATCTTCTCAAACAAATTTTTACTTAAGATAACGATTTTATATAAAACTATACTGTAAGTAAATTGCACTTTAAAAAATTCCAAAATTTCTAATAGCTAAAACAAAATACAGAAAAATATTTTATTGTCTTTAAAAAACTTTTTTTTAAAAAAAAGGCTATAAAAAATTAAGATCAGCAATGAATTTAATTTTAAAAACTTAAATGATAAAATTTATGATTACTTCATGCAATGAGAACAATACAAATTTGCATTATTAACAAAAATAACAAATTATCTGGTTTCTTAAAAAAAAAATTAAAAAATTTACATACTTTCTTCTTTTGGAAAATAAAACTATAGTAGGTTTATTGAAATCTTATTTAAACTTTATTTTTTGCTAATATTTTAAAATAAATTTTTTTTTAAATTTATTTGTGAAAATTTTAAATCTTTTGACACACTGAAATAGTACATTGACATTTTAGCATTTTTAAATAAGAGATCATTTCAATGTTTTGCAAAGTTACAAAAATTCATTGGAAAAATAGTTGTATAATTATTTATGTTTGTTATGTAAGCTATTTTTTTAATTAATTCTTAGCTACAAAGAGAAGGACCACATATTCAAGGATCATAGGAGAGATTGTGCACCAATACTTTATAAAATTTATTATTCTTCATTAAAACTGTACTAAATTTTACACTTTTACTAAAAAAATTTTAGAAATGGGACTTATCATTACATAGAGCTACAAATCTTTAAATTCAAGAACACTTACAAACAATGAATATAAATAATAATTTTAGGAAATTAATGTTTAAATTTTATGTAATGTAATAAGGTTTTGAAAAGATTCGAATTAATCAATTCAAAAATGTATGAATAAGCATATTTTCAATTACTAATTCACTTCATCAATTTAATAATACAAATATTTCATTAATTTATAAAAAAAATTCTAGTAGATATCAACCAACTTTTAAACTTTAAGCATTTATATTTTGAAAATGTGATATTTTTTTTTTTTTCCTTTTAGTTTCTCGCAGCCATTGCACACAAGTTGCAACGGCCTGGCAATTAATTTTTTCAGATCACGTTACAGAAATTTTCCCATCTACTTTCTTTTTCAATCCTTCTATATATTTTCTATATATTTCCTGAGATATTTGACAGTTTAGATTTTTTTCACACCCTGTTTAGGTACATGACTTTAAAAATATACACAAGACTTAAAACATGCATATAACTGCAAAACTTTAAAAAATTTTACATTAACTAGATTTTGCATGCAGCAGACTAAAAAAGTCTTTCAAATTACCTACACTACACACTGTAATAGTTTAGCTTCATCAATCATACTTTCAATTAGGAAATACCCTATTGATTTATAGGACTTACGATAAGTTTTGAGATTGTATTACTTATGAGAATAAACAACTAAATATTTATTCCTAAAATTATTTCAGAAAATTTATTTTTTCCAAAAATAATTAGCAGCCTTTAAAACTTCATAGATTATTATTTTTTATAAAGCAATATATATGCAACCGATATTTGCAAATGAATTTCACTTTATAGAATCTTTAATTTATTTTTGATATTTTTATGCTAGTTATAAAAAAAAATGAAAAAAAAACAATTGGTTTTTTACTTTAACGATTACTAATTTAAATGATAATACAACCAGTTGAAATTCAGTTTAGCTAAAGTTATGATCATCAGTGTAAAGTTGGCCTTATATAAAGGTTAATGTCAAGTTAAAGCATAATTTACAATAAATAAGATTGTCCAAGTTATATATTACATGTCCCTAAATATTAATAAGTAATTTTTTTTTGCTTTATTTATGAGAGTAATTAGTTTTTCATGTATAATTTAAATATTTTCCCTATATATATATTACATGTCCCTAAATATTAATAAGTAATTTTTTTTTGGTTTATTTATGAGAGTAATTAGTTTTTCATGTATAATTTAAATATTTTCTCAATTATTCAGATAATTTTTTTTTTCTTTAGTCATTTTAATAGCATAACTGTTTTTTTAATATATATAAATATATATTATTTGATTCAGTATGTGCCCAAATTCTCAAAAGTGTAATTACAGGATTTAAGTCATTTATTTTTTTTTTAAAAAATCAATAATATTGAGGAGTAAATAATTATGCTGCTATATTTAAAATGTGTATCGATTCGTAGAATCTAAGAGAAATCTTAATGATAATTTATGATCTTGGGTATCCTTCAAATTACAGAAAAGACAAATAATAATATGAAAATAAGCATAAGACGTTTCTTTACTCCTACAGTTTATTTACTTCAGATGAAAAACAACCACCTGAAATTTAGTTTAAGCAAAGTCATGATCACTCAAGGTACAAGGCTAGCTAAAATTAAAGGCTGAATAAGTGAAAGGATTAAAAATAAACTTATCTCTTACCGAGGGATAAGCCGCAAATCACAATTTGCTGAGGAGGAATCGTCTCTTCTCCCAAACCATATCTCGAGTAATTTCTCAGTTCCTTCAAAAAAGTCACAATAATTAGCCTTTACATCCATTTTTAACTGACAGCCAAACTTCTATTAAATTCTGTTTTTTATTCTTCGCACTATTTACAGAAAATTCTAAAATTTATTATTAAAAATATTCGACCGGTTTCACTGAACGAAAATGCAAACTGAAATCTTCACAAGTTTCGACCTGTGCGGATGGAGAATACTTCTTAGCTAGATTGTTGCCAGCGGCTGAATATATTTTTCGTTTTCTATGATGTCACTCGGCAAATACCGCATTGGCTATCAGCAAGCACCAGAAAAACGTGAATGCACACGTGATTCGAATGTCTGTCTTAGATTTTGGTGTAGATACTGGAACTGATAAAATCATTTTTACTAAAATATTTCAGTTAAAAGTTAGTTAAGACAAAATTCAATCTTTTTCAAAGTTCAGCTAGCAAACAAGATTACTCAAGTTCATTTTCAGCACCTCAGAGGAATCTCAAAAACGAACTTGAGGCATTGGATTCTGATTTTATTTTATTAATTTGAATAATGCTGGAAATATTCATAAAGGTGTGATCTAATTTATGATTTTATAATTCCTTTTATTTAATTTTTTTCTACAAATATAGTAGTTTCAATCAAACATTTGAGTGTCTTTCTTCACATAAGTGAAGCATGAGACGATTTGAAAGAAGAAAAATAAATAAATTTAAATTAATATAAAAAAAGATTTTAACAAAATGGCTTGAGCTAACACCAAACTTTAAAAAATTTTCATCTAGAATTCAGATAAATCAGATAATTTACCACAGTAACCAAAGTTACATTTAATAATGTATTACATATTTTGTTTCACTGTGCACATTGGCAAGTGCACAAAAGACTGCACATAAGTATGATGAAATAAATATTTTGAAAATTTCATCTTAGTTCAAAAGTTTAAATTGTTAAATTTGTAGTAGAAATTATTAAGAAGAGCGTACTATGACTTAAAAACTAAGTTACAGGTTTGGTTGGAATTCGATAGGTAAAGAAAAGAAAAGATATTTCTAAAAATGTTGTTGTTGTTGTTGTTGTTAATTTACGTCGCACTAGAGCTGCACAATGGGCTATTGGCGACGGTCTGGGAAACATCCCGGAGGATGATCCGAAGACATGCCATCACAATTTTGATCCTCTGCGGAGG